ATAAAATGTTACAGTATTAGAAATCTTCACTGAGAAGTGAAAATCATAAAAAAAATAAAATTAGCAAGAGCTGACACAAATCATTTTATGCGTTTATCGTCTTTCTCGAGTCAGCCCATACCCACCCACCTGATACCTCCACCTTTCCCGCTGCAATCAACCGGACCTCAACTTTCCGACGACGGAACCGTCATCATCCGGTCTCAGGTGGGGAATTTTTACTTCGGAACAGGCTTCCTTTATACACTGGACTCTAGTTAAGGAAGATACGTGATACTTGATCCATTTTTTTTTTTAATTTTTAATTTAAAATGAATGTGATCTATGATTTCACGAGGGCTTCTAGAAATTTTGTCGTCAAGCAACGGGAAAAGTTAATCTTAGCAGAGAATTTCGGAGGGGAAAAAGAGAAAATATCAAATACTGATAAGCAACCTTAGCTCCGTGATCGACGAAGAAAGGTTAGCGCAGTGGCGCGTACCTTCGCTCGGCGTGTACCATGTCCCGAGTTCGAGTCACCCGGGGGGAATTGGGGACCCAGTATTGATCCCCTTTTTTTAAGAGTAAAAAAAAACCTTAGCTCCGTGATCTGAATCTTGATCCGAGATCTCCAGTTCAGTTTAATCACCTATCTCTAACTCTCGTTTCTTTGTTTCGTGTTGTTTGTGGGTACGGTTTACTACAGGCAACGAGTTCCGAGAATGGGGACCGAGTTGGCTGCGAATCAACCCGTAAACTCTACCCCCCTTTCATCTTTTATATGTTAATTATCCCTTAATCATGTATTCGTTTCTGGGGCTCTTTGTTAAAGTTCGATCTGATTTGGGGCAATGTGCGTATAGGTCGAGACAATAGATGAGCGGAGGCCTGCGCTGGATTTGGGGGCATTTATTGGCGAATTAAGCTTTGAAGATGATGAAGAAAGGTTTTAAATTGTTTATAGTTCGAATGGAAAAAGTATGCACTTTCATTGCTTATGTTTCGTAATTTCTGAATGTGTGGCCTGTCTGGTCTTTTTCTTCTGCTAGTGATGCTATTTCATTGGAGGGACTTGAGCAAGAGCTTCAAGATTGT